GTCCATGGATATTGTAAACTTCAATAGGAAAAAAAAGACATCTCTCTTTTCACTTAACTCTAAATATTATTTTGAGGATGCCAGGGGCTTCACCAGACTTCCCAAGGGAACTGAAGGAGAAATAAGTTGTAACATACCATACAAGGTAGGAAATAAGCATTTATTAAGTGCTTATTATGTGCCAGGAATTGTGGTAAGTACTTTACAAGTATTTCTCATCTGATCCTCACAACAACCATGGAAAATAGATGCTATTATTATCCTCATTTTACACTTGAAGAAATTGAGGCAAACAACTAAAGTCACTTGCCCAGGGTCACATGACTAGTAAGTGCCTAAGACTAGAATTGAACTCCTGGCCCAATACTCTATTCACTACTCCACCTAGCTGCTTACCAAGCCAAGGACATGGTAAAGCAAACCATCATATCAACTAATATAAAACTCTCGGTTGTCATTAGAAAAGAGATGCCTGTGATAATTCTCTCTTAATAGTTATCTCATCCCTGATTTCTTAAATGAAAGACTTTTCTAATGGTTATAAATTTTTTAAATAATTTCCTAGTTTTTTCTGCCCTTGAACAGGGAATATATTCTTATTCTAAAAATAAATACTGTCAGTTGCATTCAAAATACTCCTCTTTCTGCCTTAAATGTTCCTTCTTGTTTTACCCCTACCATTCCAATGAAAAGCTTTAAATTGGAGGTGGAGCCAAGATGGCAGAGTAAAGGCAGGGACTCACCTGAGCTCTCCCCCAAACCCTCCCAAATACCATTAAGTAATGACTCTAAACAAATTCTAGAGTAGCAGAACCCACAAAAAAGATGGAGTGAAAAAATTTTCCAGCCTAACACAACTTGGACATTCAGCAGGAAAGGTCTATTGCACCAGGGAGAGAGAAGAGCAAAGTTCAGTGTAGGCTGTGTCAGTGCAGACCGGGCCCCAGCAAACCAGGAGCAGTCCTCAGGGCAACTGAATCAGTGACAGCAGTGGTGGTTTCCAGACCTCTCAGCCTACAGGCACCAAAGACAACTTAGAAGGTCAGCAGGAAAGGTCAGTCACATCTGGGTGAAAGTGGAGCATAGTCTAGCACAGGTTGCACCAACACAGCCCTGGTCCCAGCAAACCAGGAGCAAGATTTGAGGGCCAATGACTCAGCAGCAGTTGCTTCAGGAACTCTCAGTCCATGGATGGTAAGGGGGTCAAACAACTGTCAGAAACAGATTTCAGAGGTCTTTTTGCTAGCACTAAGACAGGACTCTGTTGTTTTGCCCATACTTGGATCCAGATCACAGGACTGGGTGGCAGTCCCAGGGTGAGGAGATGCACTAGCACACTGGAGCTTGTGGCCACAGTAGTGCAGGAACCCTCCTCACAGTTCCAGGACAGAAAAGAATGCTTGCGGTCATTTACAGACCAGAGCACAGATCATACCACCTTGGAAGAATTGGAAACTTACAGGTCCCTAGAAATATGTCTGAAAACAGCTGCACAAAATCCCTGAAGCTTGAGTCAGTGCACCCTCCACTCTGGAAGAAGAGTCCTACTTTAACAAAGAGTTAAAAGTCAAATAATAGGTTGGAAAAATGGGCAAACAAGGGAAAAAATTTCCCTTCTCTACACCTATTGTGCTTTTCATATCCTCCACAACAGTCACCATTTTTTCTTAAATTTCTTCTCCTTTTGAAAAATTTAGATAATTTAATTATTTTAAATATTTCTGTTTTTACTTTTTCATTCCAAATTCTCTCTCTTTAGTTCTTTTTCATCCTCTGAGAAGGCAGCAATATGATACTCATTACACATGTTAAGTCATGCAAACCATTTCCATGTTAGCCATGTTGCAGGGGAAGAAAAGTAAGAAAAAATAAAGATATTGAAAACAAAATGTTTCAATCAGCACAGAGTTAATCAGTTCTCTCCCTGGAGGTGAAAAGCATTTTTCATCATGAATCCTTTGGAATTGTCATGGATCATTGTTTTGATCAGAATGGCTAAGTCTTTCGTAGTTGATCCCCATTACAATATTGCTATTAAGATGTACAATGTTTTACTTCACTTCACATCTGATCATACAAATATTTCCAGGTTTTCTGAAACCATTGCTTTCATCATTTCTTACAGCACAATAGCATTCCATCACTATTCCATCATTGATGGGCATCCCCTCAATTTCTAACTCTTTGCTAACACATAAAGAGCTGCTATGTTTTGTAAATATAGGTCCTTTTACCCCCACTTTAACTGACCAAGTATTGGCATTGATGGGTCAAAGGGTAGCTATAGTTTTGTAGCTTTTTAGGCTTAGTTCCAAATTGTTCTCAAGTATGACTGGACTAGTTCATAACTTCACCCACAGTGCATTCATGTCCCTATTTTTCCACTTGATTTCTAGTGTTTGTCATTTTCCTTTTCTGTCATGTTAGCCAAATTAACAGGTGTGAGGTAGTACCTCAGAGTTGTTATAATTTATAATTCTCTAATTATTAGTGATTTAGAGCATTTTTATATGACTATTGATAGTTTTGAAACAGCTTTTTCATATCATTTGACCATTCATCAGTTAGATAATGGCTCTAATTTTTTTTATAAATTTGGCTTAGTTCTCTCTATATTTGAGAAATGAGATCTTTATCAGATAAACTTGGGCAGATAGCATTTATACAGAACTTTACAGTTTGCAAAATACTGGACATATATTATCTCCTTATCTCCTCATAAAAAAGCCATTGTAATAAATATAATTATTTCCATTTTATAGAGGAAGGAACAGAGACTAAGAGAAGTTAAGTAACTTTCCCAGGTCCCTAAAATTATTAACTGTTTAAGGCAGAATTTGAACTCACATGACTCCAAGTTCAGCAATCTTACAGACTGCATCACTTAGCTGCCTCTGACATAGCAAACAATAGCTCGATGGTTACACATCAGGTCAGTCAGTACTCAGGATAAAGTTCATCTGGGCCTAATGAGTTGATCTTATTAATCATCCTACAAATCCTGAATATCAAAATCCTATTAGCAAAATAGAATTCTCTTTTTCTCATACAGGTAGGTGGCACAGTGGGTAGAGAGGCAGGCCTAAAGTCAGGAAGACTCATCTTCCTGAGTTCAAATCTGGCCTCAGACACGTACTAGCTATATGACCCTGGATAAGTCACTTAATCCCATTTGCCTCAGTTCCTCACCTGTAAAATGATCTGGAGAAGGAAATGGCAAACCACTCTAGTACCTTTGCCAAGAAAATCCCAAATGTGATCACGAATATTCAGATACAACTGAAATAACTAAATTACAAAATTCCATCTTTACTACAATTTCTTTAACTATTTCCTAAGTGATGGACACCTGCTCAGTTTTTGTTGTTGTTGTTGTATTTTTGGTTTGTTTGGGTTTTTGGTTTGTTGTTTTGCTTTCACAATGGACGAGAGAAGTGAGGAGGGTCATGCATCTGAAAATAAAATTTAAATTTAAAAAGTTCCTATTAATCATTTGTGTCTATTTTAGTAGAAATATCATTTTGTTTGGCAGAGAATAAGAGCTGAACAACTCTGCCTTCCACTTTTGATCTTCTCCTTTTCCATGACATAACTTAAAAATATTGTCTACTTGTCAGTTTTGGACACCAAGAAACTTGGATAGAAAGGGAGAAATAGATTACAGGCCCGGAATGTGTGTGTGTGTGTGTGTGTGTGTGTGTGTGTGTGTTTGTGTGTGTATGAGTGAGGGAGAGAGAGAGAGATGGAAGACTAGAATGATGTTCCAAATATTTGTCTCTGACATACCATCTTTTATTTTTATTTTTTATAATTTCAGCATCTGATTAAAAATAATTCCTTTTCAGATAATATTAATCATTATTATGTAAAAAAAAAAACAAAATACCCATCTTTGTGTGGTTTCAAAGTGCACCTATAGCCCAGCAGAAACAAATTTAGCATAGAAATAAGTATAGGTTTTCATCTTCCAGTGAAAATAGTTTCCTTTGTGCTATAGCTAACAGACTTGTGTCTTTCTGTGCCTGGTGGCAGAAGGCTTAGTGAGAGATGATGAAAAGAAGATAAACAAATAATTGACAAGTACACCTATGAACATTTTTTATAAATTGTGATGAAATTGGACAATTATTTTTAAAACATTCTATTAACACTTTATTTTATTTCATAACTTTGTGTTGATATATTTATTACAATGAATAAAATATTTAAATGATTCATGAAAAAGGCAAAAATATGTTGACAACATGCTAGTGTACAACAAACTTTAACATCCAGACATTGACATATTAAAAGTGTTTTTTTTATTTTTCAAAGGGAATAAAACTCAAAATTAAATTTGTTGAATTGAAGCAGCCATTGAAATGATATCCAAGGGGAGATAAACTAGAAATAAGCTTTCTACCTGTTATCCTAAAAGTGTATTTCAATTTAGAAAAGCAAGACCTTTATCAAATTTCAATTCAATTTCAAAAATATTTATTTAGGGTTATGTGCAAGGCAAAGTTTAATGAAGTGCTTGACAAATTAAAAATTAGACAATATTATATAAGAATAAAGATTCCTTTCAAAATTAATCAAATTTTTGTTAGGCAGAAGACCAGACTCAGCAAGCATGAATGACTCAGGATAAGAATCGATGATTGATGTAGTAAAGATTTTTTGGGAAAGTTTTCTTTTTAACTTCCTCATCTGAATTTCCTAAAGATTAATTTTTACTATATTTGTATCACATAAAATTTCTAAATCAATATTTACATTTATAATTATACATAGAGAAAATATTTTGCCATGAAAAGAGTTATACTTTTAATGAATCAGCCAAAGTAGATGTTTGTGTTATTTTGTGTTCATTCCTTGAATGCTGAAAAATATGATCTCCAAATTGCCACTATTCAGTTCATCTGGCATTTATTACATACCTAGGGCAGGCTCTGGGTTAATCTTTTATAATACGGTTCCAAAAATGCAATAGACCTCCCCCTGAAGGAATTCATTTCTTTCTAAAGCTCTGTTTCCTTGCCTGGCCAATAGAGAGTCTCAAAAATATGGTCATTGTTAGTATGGTGCTCTTTTTTGCTACTTGTAGATTCCATTGCATCTTCTTTATTGTTTGCAAGGTTTCCATCTTTAGAAACAGACCTCCTCTTTAAAACAAAAAGCATTGCAACACTCAGGAAAATGGACACGGTGCCAAGTAACACGGTTAAGCCCAGATATATGTATCTAGAAGAAATTTTTTAAAAAATAATTTTTATAATTTTATCTTGATTATTTTGAAATTATGGGAAAATAAATCTAACATTATAATTCTTATTTCCAGCTAATAATATGAATTATGTGGTTGTAAAGACCCTAAGAAGTAAACTAAGGAGGAAACTTTACTACTAGAATGACCTTCTAGCATTGTTATTTTCAGCTACCACTTCCCAAATGCTTAGCTGGTAAATCACTTCTTACATAAGTTTCTTGTTAAGTAATTTACATTGTAAATTATTTTCTTAAGGCCAGGTTCAAGTTTATTTTGGATTAAGGCTGTCCTAGGCAACCATAATGAAAATCAAATCTATGAGTGTCCTTGATCAAGAGTGTGTCCTTTCATTTACGAAGCTAATTCATTCCTGAACCTGAAAATTCTACTCTAAACCTTATAAATGAAACAATAAATGTCACATATCTGTAACAAAATAGTGGAATAAATTTTGCCATGAGAAATGATAATAAATCAGCAACTATATTATTAAAAAAACACAAATTCAACAGGACTAGTACCTAAAGGCATAAGAGTCATATAATCTGCAGGCTCCTCGGTATCCACATCTTTTAATTCCCCATTTAAGACATGTTGTGTCTATCAACACTCCAAAGTATATTGGAGCTGGAATTCCTGCTGCAAGGAAAAATACGATAAATTAAAATCAAACATCATTGCATTTGATCCTTACAACAACCCTGGAAAATAGGTGCTATTATTATATCCATCTTATAGATGAGGAAACAAGGCAGAAGAGGTTCAGTGACTCACCCAGGGTGATAGAGCAGGTAATTATCTGATGACAGATGTGAATACAGATCTTCCTGTCTCCATGTACATCACTATCCACTGTACCATCTAGCTGCCTAAATTCTTTTTGAAATACTCAAAGAAGAATTTAAGTCACTTTTAAATTTTTAACTCATGTGAGTTTTTGAGAGATAGGGAATTTGAAGCAATTGGCTAGATGATTCAAGCAATACTTTTTTCCTCAAATATTTAAAATTTAGGTAGAGGGTTGCTTCTGTTCTCATACAAAGAGCCAGCCACAATGACTTATTTTAGTTTCTCTCTTATTAATTTTATCATATTTAGATTATAACTATATCTAACACAATTATATGCCTAGATTTATCTTTAACATATATATGTATATGTATATGTATACATATATATGAATGCTTGATATAAATATTGTTTAAGGTCTGAATCAAGTTTTATTTTAGCCACTGAACTAATCTTGTCTGACAGTTTCCCAAGATAATTTGCAAATGAATGAATAAATTAATGAACAAAGTATTTATTAAGTGCTCACTTTGTGCCTAGCACAATGCTTAGGACTGAGGTTACAAACAAGCAAGGATAGTGGCAGAAAACATGCAATAAGAAATTATGAGCAGAGAAGGACACTTTAGTCTAGAAAGCTACAGGGATGGTGAGTGGGGTCGTAGAAAAGTAGACGGACACACTCTATCTATGGACAATGGAGTTGACTGGTTTCAGGGGTGGGAAACCTGCAGCCTTGAGGCCACATGTGGCCTTCCAGGTTCTGAAGTATGACCCTTTCATTGAACCTAAACTTCACAGAATGTATTCCCTTAATAAAAGGATTTGTTCTATAAAACTTGGACTCAGTCAAAAGGTCATACCCAAGGACCTAGAGGGCCACATATGGCCTCATATCCACAGATTCCCCACCCATAGTCCAACTCAATGGTTCCAGAGGAAGAAAGGAAAGCAAAGAGATAAACAGAAAATAAAGAGACCACTTTTATATATTGGCTTTCTCATTTATATTGTCTTACAACCCAAAGTTAATCATAGCAAAATATTTTAAATAAATGTCAAAATATAAATATTATTTTCATTCTTTTTTTTAAAATGAAGTAGAAGTTATACTTACCAAAGACTCTTATTGCTAAAGTGTAGATTCCCAGGGCAAAAGATTTAAAATGTGGCTTAATAGACCTAAAAGTAATAAAAGCATGGTTAAAGAGACTACAAAGTTAATCCAAAGTAGTAGTACTTGTTAACAAACTTTCCTGTGTAAAAAAATAAAATAAAACAAAACTGTAACACAATTATATGAAATATAATAACTTGTTTAATAAACATCAAACAAATCACACCAATATATTCTGGAACCCAAATTTTCTTTATCATCATATTCAAATGACCTTACATATGTGCAAGAAAAAAAAAGTTTAATTCCCCAAATACTGACACTACAGCTCATTTAAATAGTTTTGAAACAGATAGTTCCATTTTTAAAGTAATTAATGAGAATTAATAATAAATTAACAACAATAATTTATAAACTAGTCTATTGTATCTTTATGAGCACAAGGCACAATTCAATAGAATTTGGTAATAATCAGTAATATTCATTGCGCCTTATTATGTGGTAGTGCTATTTGGTACAAACCTGAAAAGATTGGTCCTGTCTCACAGTTGTTAAGACTATCTTCTGGGAACTAAAGGGACTAGAATGTTTTTTTTTAAATCATGAATGTCATTTCCTTTTGTGTTAATCTGCATTTTGATAGATACAATCATTAGTCAATATTTCCAGGAGTAGCAAATTCTTAAGTTGTCAGTTCTACCTGCTACAGCACAACCCTCTGTGGAGGAATATTATGATTCCCATTTTACAGATGGGGAAACTGAAAAATAGATGTTAAATGATTAGCCCATGGTCACAAAAGTATTAAGTGTTTGAGGTCAGATTAAAACTCAGGTCTTCCTTACTCCATTGCAGTATTTTATTACTACAGTATTGGCTGTGTGCCCTTGAGTAAGTAACTTAATCTTTCTGTGCTCTAAGTCAATTTTTTAAATCATGTGTTGTAGAGAAGGTGATAACTTGCATTGACAATGGAAATTTCGTAACTCAATATTTCCCTATACCAATGAAACCACAGGCCACTCATTATCCCTATCACTTATAAGATTTTTTAAAATATAAAATATACCTTATCAATTATTATTAAATAAGTATTAGGGAAAAAATAATGTTTGTACCCTAAACTGGTTGGAACATATTTATTATTATTTCTAGCCTGCATTCAGTAAAAATCATACTACTCATTTTTGTGCTAACACTTAGCTAATTGTGCTAATATTGTGCTGATTGTGCTAAGACTATATGTTAGAAACATATATGATGTGCTCTCTCCTCTCTATGATATTATGTCAAATTTTATATTAAAAAAGTGTCTATATTCACCTCAGAAGCAATATATACCCAGGTGTGCCACCTACAGATAAAGTATAGGAAGTGATGACTGATATTATCAGGAAATATAGAAACATTTTTGAACATTCATTTCCTTTTTGACATCTGCCCACCATTCCTGAGGAATTTCCTGATTTAGACTCTGTGACTCCTACACAGGTGCAATTGTAAAATATCTGGAATAGAATAATAAAAACTTCAGTAAGTTATATAAAAAGAAAAATTTGTAATATTAATTTTTAAACTCTTACTGTATATATATGTAGCTTATGGGGGTAGGTTAATACCCGTTTCTTTGTCTCGTATAGACATTATCATGCAAATGATAAATCTAGACAAATTTCAATGAGTAAATACAAAAATAGATCCAAAATTGTTCATTTAAAAACAGATCACTGGTTCATAAAGTTTCATTCCCTATAAGAAGAGGCACTCTGAAATTTGATGAAGAGACTTTTCATTTGCCCTTACAAAAATTGAGATCCTTTCTGAAGTTTTTGGTGTCATAGTTCTCTTTGAGAACAAAGGATGAACAACAACCCTGTGCAGTGTGTGTAAATATATATATATATATATATATATGGTTGCTTTATAAGGCTACATCTTTCTTCTCTCCCTGTGTCTTACGTGTTTAGGGTAGGGATTAGATCTTGCTTTTTTTACATCCCCAGATCTTGGTATAGTGCCTGACATACATTAGGCACTTCATAAATGTTTATTGATCGATTCATGTCTATTCTTACGAAAAGTGCTGACCCTTTCTTATTGGGATAATTTTATCGATGAAAAGGAACAGATAGAGGTGGAGCCAAGATGGTGGAGCAAAGGCAGATACTAGGTTGTGCTTTCCCCCAAACGACCCCAAAAACCTTTAAATAATGAATCTAAACAAATTTTAGAGTGGCAGAACCCACAAAAGGTAGAGTGAAAGAATTTTCCAGCCCAAGATGACTTGGAAGGTCAGCAGGAAAGGTATGTTGCATCAGGGTGAGAGGAGCACATTCCAGCGCAGTCTGTGCCAGGGTAGCCTAGGCCCCAGCAATCCAAGAGTACATCTTAGGGCCGCTGTGTCAGTGTCAGAAGTGGCTGTTTGCAAACTTCTCAGGCCGCAGATACCAAAGACAACGTAGAGGGTGAGCAGGAAAGGTCTGCTGCACCTGGGTAAGAGTGGAGCACGGTGCAACTCAGGCCATACTAACACAGCCCCAGCTACAGCAAACCAGGAGCTGGCCTGGGGAGCCACTGACTGAGCAATGACAGCAGCTGCTTCTGGAGCTCTCGGCCCACAGACGGTTAGGGGGTGGGGCAACCGGTCAGAAGGAGATTACAGAGGTCTCTTTGCTAGCGCTGGAGCAGGACTCGGTTGCTTTGCCCATATTTGCATCTGGGTCACAGAACTGAGTGGCAGTCCCAGGGTCTGAAAGAGCACTAGCAGACCAGAGCTTGTGAGCAGAGTTGAGTGGGAACTTTCCTCAGTTCCAGGACAGAAAAGTGGGCTTTTCTCATAGACCACAGCACAGGCCAGGAGAATGTTAAACACAACTCTCTTTAGATTATACCACCTTAGATGAACTGAAAACTTACAGGTCCCTAGAAGTATCTTGGAAAACAGCTGCACAAAGCTCCTGAAGCTTGGTACAATGCACCCTCCACCCTGGAAGAGGAGACCTACTTTAACAAAAAGTTAAAACTCAAGCAATAGGCTAGGGAAACGAGCAAACAACAGAAAAAAATTCTGACCGTAGAAAATTACTATGGTGACGAGGAAGATCAAAACATACACTCAGAAGAAAACAATCAAAGCTCCTACATCCAAAGCCTCTAATAAAAATATTAATTGGTCTCAGGCCATAGAAGAGTTCAGAAAGGATTTTGAAAATGAAATAAGAGAGGTAGAGGAAAAATTGGGAAGAGAAATGATAGTGATGCAAAAAAATCATGAAAAAAGTCAACATCTTGGTAAAGGAGACACAAAAATGAAATACCTAAGAAAATAACACCTTAGGGGGCAGAGCCGAGATGGCACAGTAAAAGCAGTGACTTGCTAGAGCTTCCCCCAAACCTCTTCAACTACCTGTAAAATTACTCTAAACAAACTCTAGAGCAGCAGAACCCACAAAAAGACAGAGTAAAACAAATTTCCAGCCCAAGACAACCTGGATGGTTGATGGGAAAGGTCTATTGGCCTGTGCTGGGAGAGGAGCACAACTCAGCTTGACTGAGCAGGCAAAGACAAGACCAGAGCAAACCCAGAATAGGGTTCAGGAGATTAAATCATGGGTAGCTATGGCAATTTCCAGACTTCTCAATGCACATATGCCAAAGATAACTTGAAAGGACAGTAGGAAAGGTCTGTCAGACCTAGGTGACAGGTGGCAGCTGCTTTTGGAACTCTCAGCCCACAGACAGTGAGGGAATCATATGGCTGATCAGAGGATTGCAGGGATCTCTTTGCTGGCACTGAGGCAGGATACCTTCATTCTGTGTCTCTCTGCTTCAACTATCTTTCTTATAAGCTATATGTTGTAAGATTCTGGTTTTTTTTTATCCACTCTGCTATCAGCTTCCATTTTATGGGATAGTTCATCCCATTCACATTCACAGTTATGATTACTTCCTATTTCCCTCCATTCTATTCCTCCTCCTTTTTGTCCTCTCTCTTTTACCCTTTCCCACCTCACCAGTGTTTTGCTTCCGTATACCACTTCCCCAATCTGCCTTCCCTTCTATCAGTCTCTCCTCCCCCTTCCCCTTCACTCAATCTCCTCCCCTCTTACTTCTCTGTTGGGTAAGATAGATTTCTATATTCAAGTGATTGTGTATATTACTCACTCTTTGGGTCAATACTGATGAGAGTAAAGTTCAAGCAATGCCAATTGCCCACCCTCACACTTTCCCCTCCACTGTAAAAGGTCTTTCTTACCACTTCATGTGAAATAATTTACCCAATTCTACCTCTCCTTTCCTTCTGCACCCATGGTACCCCTCTTTCTCATCCCTTAATTTTTTTTGTCATTCCCTCAAATTATCCTTATACACATGTCCTCTGTCTATGTATATTCTTTCTATCTGTGCTGTTAGTGATACAATATTTAAGAATTACCAGGGGGGTGGAACCAAGATGGCAGAGGGAAAGCAGTGACTGTCTTCAGCTATCTCCCAAAGCCCTCCAAATACCTAAAAAAATGGCTCTAAACAAATTCTAAACCAACAGAACCCACAAAAAGAGGGAAACAAATTTCCAGCCCAACAGCCTGGATGGTTGATCAGAAAGGTATATCACACCAGGTGGGGAGAGGAGTGTAGTTCGGCATGGGCGTGCAGGCCGCAGCAACCCTGGAGCAGGCCTCAGAGGACTGAATCACGGGCAGCTGTGGCAGTTTCCAGACTTCTCAACCCCTGAACACCAAAGATAACTTAGAAGGTCAGTGAGAAAAGTCTGTGACTGTGGTGAGAGAGGAGCTAGGTCTCAGCTGCAAGTCTCCAGCGCAGCCCAGGGTTGCAGCTATTTCCTGAGCTTCTGGCCCACAGACTGAGGGGGAATCGAGTGGCTGATCAGAGAGGGGATTGCAGGGGATCTTTTTGCCAGTGCTGAGACAGGAATCTCTTACTTTACTGGTGCTTGGATCTGGGTCACAGCTCTGAGGGGCAGTCCTGGGGTGAGCAGGAGCGCTGGTGAGGTGGAGCTTGTTGTGGTGGTAGAGAGGAAACACCTCACCCCTTATCATACCACCTTGGAAGAACTGAAAATTTACAGGTCCCTAGAAGTACCTCTGAAAACAGCTGTACAAACCCCTGAAGCTTGGGACAGTACACTCTTCACATTGGAAGCAGACTTTCATGTTAACAAAGAGTATAAAACTCAAGTAATTAGCCGGGATCATGAGTAAGCAGTGCAAAATGAGTCAGACTATATTATCTTACTTTGGTGACAAAGAAGATCAAAACATACAACCAGAAGAAGACAACAAAGCCAAAGCTCCTACATCCAAAGCCTCCAAGAAAAATATGAATCAGTCCCAGGCCTTGGAAGAGCTCAAAAGGGATTTTGAGAGGCAAGTAAGAGAAGTAGAGGAAAAACTGAGAGTGGTGCAAGAGAATCATGAAAAACAAGTCAACAGTTTGCCAAAGGAGACCCAAAAAAATACTGAAGAAAATAACACCTAAAAAATAGCCTAACCCAAATAGCAAAAGAGGTCCAAAAAGCCAATGAGGAGAATGCCCTAAAAAGCAAAATTGGCCAAATGGAAAAGGAAGTCCAAAAGATTACTGAAGAAAATACTTCCTTAAAAATTAGAATAGAGCAATTGGAAGCTAGTGACTTTATGAGAAATCAAGACACTGTAAAACAAATCCAAAAGCATGAAAAATTAGAAAACAATGTGAAATATCTCATTGGAAAAACAACTGACCTGGAAAATAGATTCAGGAGAGAGAATTTTAAAATTATTGGACTATCTGAAAGCCATGATTAAAAAAAAAAGCCTAGGCATCATCTTTCAAGAAATTATCAAAGAAAACTGTCCTGATATTTTAGAACCAGAGGGCAAAATAGAAATAGAAAGAATCCACCGATCTCCTCCTCAAAGAGATCCCCAAAGGAAAACTCCTAGGAATATTATAGCCAAATTCCAGAGTTCCCAGGTCAAGGAGAAAATATTACAAGCAGCCAGAAAGAAACAATTCAAGTACGGTGGAAACACAATCAGGATAACACAAGATTTAGCAGCTTCTACATTAAGGGACCACAGGGCATGGAATATAATCCAGAGGGCAAAGGAAATAGGATTACTACCAAGAATCACCTACCCAGCAAAACTGAGTATAATCCTGCAGGTAAAAAAATGGTCATTCAGTGAAATAGAGGACTTTCAAGCATTCTTGATGAAAAGACCACAGTTGAATAGAAAATTTGATTTTCCAATACAAGACTCTAGTGGAACATGAAGAGGTAAATAAGAAAGAGAAAATCACAAGAGACTTATTAAAGTTGAACTGTTTACATTCCTGCATGGAAAGATGATATTTGTAACTCATGAGACCTTTGTCAGTATTGGGGTAGTTGGAGGAGAAAAAATTATATGTACGTATATATAGATATAGATAGATAGAGGGCACAGGGTGAGTTGAAAATGAAGGGGTCATATCTGGAAAATAAAATTAAGGGGTAAGAGAG